GGCTTTATACATACTTTTTGGTGTCAATTTTTTGGTACAGTATATAAGGGAGTTAGCAGTCTAGTAATATATAGAAGTCTGTGCTGTGAGGTCATGGGTCTAGGTCTAGGAATAATATGTAAAAGTATGTGATTGCAACAGATTGCAACTTGCAACTTGCAACTGTATTCATAAAATTGCAAGAAAAGTATTATAGTTTAAAAATGGGAAAAGGATTCAACAATTACATGTGCAAGAAATTTTTTCATCCAGCATCACGAGATAATTTAAAACGAGTATGAAAATGCAGTATAATCTTTTTATTATAACTGAAAATATTTTTATATAGTCTCTGTGAAAAAAGTCATATCTTATACTTTAAAATAATAAACATACAAAATATTTTAATTTTAACTGAAAAATCGATTCTTCATATAATTTAGCAGTCACATTTTATTGAAATTTATTATATTTCCATATCTGAATCATGATATTCTTTTTTGTATTATATGTGTATGTGTATGAGAGAAAGAAAAAAAATTGACCAATTTATAATATAAAATATAAAAAGAAATATAAAAAAAAAATAAATAAATAAAGAGTAACTATTGATATTCGTTTTTAATTAGAATTAATATTTATATTATAATTTATTAATCTTAATTTGTTAATCGTGATACCACTTGTTAAATAAGTTATGTAGTAATAAATTCAAAACTTTTTGGAATACCTCTTTAATAAGTTTCCAAATAAAATTTAAAAAGAATATAAATAACAATCTTATATTGGTATTGAATTATAAAAGTAAAATAGTTTTTGAATATGTGATAGTTTAACAATTGGTTTTATTATGCATAACAGATAATATATATTCAGAAATATTTTACAACAGAAATTAAAAAATTAAAAAATCCTGCTGAGGTATGCGATTTTGTTATATATTTAAATAATTTTATAATAAGCAGAATATATTCCTTTATGTTAAATATATGTTTTTTATGTCAGGTATGGATGGCAGAACAGCAAGCAGAGGCTTACAAGAAGAAGCAGGAAGAACTGCGAGTACAATATGAGAAAGAACAAGATCTTCATAATAATAAGTAAGTTTACAATGTTATATAATAAGTAATCTGGTTTCTAAAGTAAAATTTTTTTCAGAGCATTGCTGAGCAAGGAAAGCAAGGATAAACTTAGTGTGAACTTCATGTATGAACCACCTCCTGGAGCAAAAAAAGAAAGAGAGAAGGAAGACAATGAACCTGAATACAAGTTTGAGTGGCAGCGGAAATATAATGCTCCAAGAGAAAGTTATTGCAAAGGAGATAGTGAGATACGAGATCAACCTTTTGGTATACAAGTAAGGAATGTACGATGTATCAAATGTCACAAATGGGGACATATAAATACAGGTAATTTAATAATATTTACAATTTATTGAATTATGAGATTACTTTTTACTTCTTTAGAAAATTACCAAGTTATTTTTTAAACAAATGAGTCTTAAGCTTTATCTGTTATTGACAAAATAGCTTACTTAATGATAATTGATCTCATACTTATCCCTCATCGCATCTTCAGTAAGCTGCTGAAAAGATTTATGGAGCAAATAAATAAGTCCCCATTTTATTTATAAAGTTCTGTATTAGTCTTGAGTATAGTAATCTTGTAACTGCATTAAAGAGCTGTAAATATAAAATAAAAAACAAGCTTTAATAATAAATTATTTTTAGATAAGGAGTGTCCGTTATATAGTCAAGCAATGAGTGTTGTAATGGCAAGTAATAATTTGCAAGTATCATCTGCTCCAGATACTATGATACTTGTGCAACAGATGCGAGAAGATGGTTTGGCTCTAAAAAAGTAATGTTACATTATAATACATATTATTTGCGCGCGTGTACATGTATTTACATGCATGTTATATGTATTTGTAAGTGTATGATGTAGAAAAAAGTTTTAATAAATAAATAGCCTAAATTATGAAACAGATTAATAGAGTATAAATAGATATTAAATTATTTAATTTATTTTATATATTGTATATATATATATGTATTGCAGATCTGTGTTGGATGCACAACAGCATTTACGAATTCCAGAACATGAACACCCTATGATCTCTGAAGATGAAGAACAGTCAGAATTGTCTTTTCTAAAATGTTTATCGAAAAAAGAAAAAAAGAAATTATTATTGTAAGTTAATTGAACTATATAATATACATAGTTGTAATATATGCATAGCATATAATAATATATACATAGTATATATGTATAATATACTCTCTTACTAATGATAAGAATATCTGGGAATTAAAAATATATCTTTAATATAAGTATTTTTTAAATTTTATTAAATTAGAAGATTATTTATGTTTATAATTGAATTACAGGAAACTACAGTTATTAGAAAAGAAAAATCGCACGAAAAGAACAAGAAATCTGAAGAAGAAAGAAGTGAATTGTAATATAAAATCTAGCAGTAGTAGCAGTGATACTAGTAGTAATAATGATAGCGACAACAACAGTAATAGCACATGCACTACCAGCGATTCAAAAGATTCTCATTCTAGAAAAGGCAAGAAGAAGAGAAAAAAGTCCGACTCTAAAGAGAAGTGTACTCATAAACATAAAAAAAAACGAAATAGTGATGTGCATAAATACAAACGTAAAGAGAGGAATAGCAATACCAAATATGAGACAGATAAGAATCGCTACGATAGAGTAAGAAAAATTAAAAATGAAAATAAGAACAAAGACAATTTGCAACACAAAATAAAGAAAAAGCATGCTCATTAACAACAATCTTGAAAATATTATAAAATGTAAACGTATCATGTAGTTATGAAATAATTAATAATAAAAAAGCGTGTTTATATTATTAATTTTGAAATGCATATCACAATTTAATTTCATATATTTTTGAGACAATAAAAGTTCTGCAGATTACAGATTGATCTTTTAGCTGCAAATGGCGTGTATATGTATAGCTCGAAAAGTTCTTTTTTAAACAGATGTATATGCGTCCTCATTAAGCTCAATAAGCCATATATATATATATATAATATATATATATAATATATATATATACATATATAGATATATATATGTATGATTATTGTTCTGCACATAACAGTTTTCAATTTAAGCACGTCGCAGCGGAAGGGTTAATATTTAAATATTTGCACATATATGTATATATTATAATGGAATAGATTGTAAATTAATTACAATATTTTATTCAATGACAAACATTTCTAATAACCATTTGTGGTACAAACATTAATAAGTTTTATTTCAATAGCATGCACTTTATTTTTACAAATCAATGAAGCGCATTAACATGTTATTAATATTCTTACAATTGTGTATAATTATAATGTAATATATCTCTTTTCCACAAAGATGATACATGGAACCATTGGCAATGTACATATATATTTTGTATATTACAGATTTTAATTGAATTCCTTTTCTCTTATATAACGCGTATTATTCAAAAACGTCATAAATAATAATCTTTTTTACTTCATTTTTATAGTTTTTATAATATAGTTAGTTTAATAACAATCCTGTCTCGCATATATGTTTTTATATGTAATGTACTATTGTATTGTGTATATGTATGTATGTGTGTGCGCGCACGCGCGTGTGAATGTGTAAAATGTTAGCCACATTGGCCTTGAACACTTGGGCATTTTGAAATCTGTTCACCTAATTATTTTTTGCAAATAAATTACATTTTCAATGTGATACAATACTATTAATTTTAGGAATATTATAATATTGGATGACAGCTATATATATAATTAATTCATTATGTTTAACAATGAGCCTTTGTGTGTGTATAGTATGTGTATAGATAGATAAAACGAGAGAATACACTTATTATATTACAATTGAAACATTTTTCATCTTTTTCATACCGCTGAAAATGATATAACAATTACGATTAATCCTATTAGAGAAATGCCGTTCTTTAATATGCAATATACAAAGTTGCTTTAGATAGAATCACAAAAAAATCGACTTTATTCTTACATATATGATACAATGTAAAATTTCTATTCAATGTAGTTTTTCTTTCTGTTTTTATTAAAACAGATTTCTCTTTACATAATAAATTGAATATATATTTGCATTGAATATGTAGTTGCAGGACAAAAAATAGCGGATCTAATCTCCTATGTAAGATTTCCCAATAATTATGTTATATATAAGTATGAATCATTGTAATGTCTAGGATACATAAACCGGAATGTAAAATTATTTTAACAAGACTTGATACAAATCTTATCTTTTATATATATATATATATATTTTGTATCTATCGCATAAAAAAAATTGCTCAAGAAAGATTAGAAAATACATTTTCATCCAAAGTACAAGTGTTTTATTCGCAGTAAAATGGTTGTAAACGTGCAGAAACATTAAAAATTAAAAAACTTAGAGATTGATTTGATTTGAAAACAAAAAAAGATTCAATCATGCAATATGTTCTTGAAATGCAAAAAAGAAAAATAAAAAAAGAAAGAAAAATCGTTGGAAAGAAATTTTTCTGTAATATTTTTTAATTCTAATATTTCTTTAAAGCACTCGTCCCTTTATACATATAAATCTTCACTATTTGAAACTCTATTGCTAACCAATTATATTATAAGTGATATGATTGTGTTATTATGATTGTGATATTATTTGCATTACTATTAATATAATCTTTAGATTTGAACTGCATTTCGCTCGTAAATGTTTCATTAATGCCATAAATTTGTTTTCTAACGAATATACTTGTTCTTGACATATATTTACATAACAAAAAGATATATTATTCGCTTTCTTGCATTGCAAACAAACATTTGGCTATTACGAAATAGTCTAAGTCGCATGTGCAAACATATCGCGAAATCGAAGAGAGGCCGCCCAAATTTATTGTTTATTTTTTACTATATATAATATGTGCTCTAAATGTAATGCTGTTCATCGTTTATAGGCACGCTAGCGTAAACGATACAACAGCTTTATGGACTATATTTCTTTCGTTCATAATTCACATCAGAAAGTTGATAGTTTGCGCACAAAGCATTGCAGCACTATAAATGATTTGGTGGCTGGCCGAGATCCACCATTTCAGCGTCTTCTATGCTATTGGACCCCATAATATGCTGTCTATGCTGCTGTTGAAAATCTAACGATGGATGCAGATGAACATCACAGTGTGAACCAGTCGCTGCACCAAAACCAGTATTGTTCAACAGTGTCCTACGGGGGCTTCTAGCGTTTACGACTTTCGGTTGCGCATACATTTCTTCCAGGACACTCGGTGCCACGTATGTGAAACCCTGAAATATCATGTTTGCAGATTCACTGAGTGTACTTTCAACTGGTGAATCAACCGGTACGGTCGCTGTGAATTGTTCGTCAAATTGCGATGTATCGTCAGCGCTTTTCAAAGATGGTTTAAACGGCGGATCTAATTTCCGCGCGATTACGTCCTGCCAATTGATATGCTTGAAAAAGTTATGGTTCTTAATTTGCTCGGCGTCTTCCAGACCGGAGCCCAATCTTTGAACAACTTGCCTCTTCAAGAGTTTTCGTATAAGATCTCGGGCGTCCGGTGTTAAGTACTGTGGAAGACTTAGTTTTCCTCGTAAAATTTTTTCGATAGTTTTTCTTCTATCATCACCAGTGAATGGCGGACCTAAACTCCACCAATCCACTGCTTTACCATGACCGCTCCGAGTTAAAATTTCCGGGGCCATGTATTCTATCGTTCCACAAAATGTGTGCGTCACTGTTCCTTCTTGTATATGTTCCTTGCAAAGACCAAAATCTGTTAACTTAACATGACCTTCAGCATCCAATAAAATGTTCTCTGGTTTCAAGTCTCTGTATATAATTCCCTGATTGTGAAGATGTTGCAGTGCCAGTATAATTTCAGATAAATAAAAGCAGGCTGTGTCCTCTAAGAAAATACCTTCTCGATCGAGGTATGTGAAAAGTTCACCACCACACAGATATTCCAAGATCAAATATAGTTTGCCACCAGTTTGGAAAGCATACATAAGATTCACAATAAATGGATGTTTTACAGCTTCCAAGATATTTCTCTCAGCTTTAGTATGAGCAGTATCTTTCTGATTTCGTATAATGGATGCTTTACGCAGTACTTTCATAGCAAAAATACTGCCTTTATCTTTTCCAGTAACTTTTCTAACTTGGAAGACCTTCCCATAGCCACCTTCTCCTAAGATTTTGCATAATTCAAAATCCTGTGGACCAGCTTTTTCTTGACCAGGATTTACATTCTGTTCAGACAATTGAACTCTCTCCAAATTTTCAGATCTGAAAGTAATTCAATAACTCTACATTTTAATGACTAAAAAAAGCATTTATTCTAAAATCATGCAACCAAAATACTTACTCTAATATAGTGCTTACAGTCGCAGCATGATTATATTCCTCCTAAGAATAAATATATTTATATTATGTATACACATACCATACACACACACGCACGCGCGCGCGCACGCACACACACACGTGTGTATAAAAAAAGAATCAGGAATTTAAAAATCTCATAAAAATACCAAAAACTGAGATAGAATATTCAAACCAATGGCAGTATTGATGTATCTACTCGTTTGTGTTAGAGTTCCAATTTTCACATTTTAAATAGTCAGTATATATTATGTTATAAATGTATAAATATAAACATTAGGTTTTCTCCAGAAATGCATGCATTTATTATTGAACATTACTTTCAATCAAATTTGTATCATTTCATGCAAAATCAGTTCAAGAAGTTTGGAGACATACTTTACATAAGTCAGTGATTCAACATACAATTAAATGTTTTCAAGAAAATTTATCTCTAGACAATGCGACTTATAATTAAAGTTCAAGTCTATATTGATAATCTAGGAGAGTAATTTAAAACTTTTTTTATAAAATTTCAATAAAATAAATTTATTTGTTCCATTTAAGAGCTTTTCTCTCAATAATTTTTTTTAGAACAGTTTCTTTCTTTGACATAGCTCGTATACATATA